GTTTTATAGATAAAGATTTTGTCAAAAAAATATAAATTATTGTTATTCAAAAATCACATATTAGTAGCTTTTAAAACAAGATAATTATGTGGCATACATATAGAAAACTTGCTCTATAAGTTAAGATATATGTCTTATAAAGTCAAAATATTTTAAAGGTCCTATAAGACATCGCCACGTAGTTCTTAGTTAAGAGTATATATGGAACCAAGAAAGAAGTATTTTTAATTCTTTTCAATGCCTTTCTAATCCTTAGTTTTATTTCATGACTTTTTGATTTTTTGTTTTTAGCAATAGCCATTCTAATTCAATACTATATCATATTTGAGTGACTTTCAAATTCTTTTAAGTAATATAAGAGTATACTGAAGATTTTTTCCTTTGAGAATCATATCCTTAAAAAATACTTTACAAAATCATAACTATACTCAATATGTACTAATTTCAATAAAACCAAGGATTCTTTTATTTTTTATGCAAAGCAATCTATAGTCATATATGCAAATTGAATAATTACAAGACTTGGTGAAAACTGGCACTCAACATGCCACTACATAGACAACCATTGTCCCAATTCAAGAGAGCATCAAAATTCTTTGATTGTTCTTTATGACCCTATGAATTTCTTAACCACCACTTAATATTCTATTTTTATTGTAGTGCTACTACTGATTATCTTAGTAGCTTTTACCATCACAACTTTGTAAAATCTAGTATTGTTTTGTAAGGATGCTAACACTTTGTAATTTTTAATTGCACCACCTTGCTTGGAACATTTGTTGACATCATCCCATCCCATCACAGTTCTAACATTGTCACAACTTGAGCTTGGTGTATTCAACTCCTCCAATTTGAAATGAAAATAGGGTTTTAGTTTTGACTATATCCCACATGTTCTTGCACCTTTGTAACATCTTCATCTTTGATTTCCATGTGTGCTGTAACTTGCTCCTCCTTATATAGTTAGTTCCTTTCTCCTAAATGGGCATTCTAACTTTCAGCATCCAAGTGATGCATAGTTGATCTGCTCGAGATACTCCTTACTCCTCTCCCGAATGTTGTTTCACAGTGGGAGTATTACTCACCAGGTTCACTCAACAATCTTGCTCATCTGAAAGCACATTACATTGACTGTTCTCTTATGAGTAAGAAAATATCAGCTAACGCTTTGATACCATGATAAAACTAAGGGAGATTCACAGAACACCAACAATGCAATCAACAGTACATTCTATTTTGCTTCCATGATTAATGTCTCTACTGTTCGAGCTAAAGTACAGATTAGCAGCGGCTAATCAAATTCTCAGTTGTTCTAAATTAGGATTAGGGTTACATCTGGAAGACTAAGCTTTGCACACGATATCTCAAGACACGATGTTTGTTGTTATCTCAAGACACGATGTCTCGTTGTTGTTATCTCAAGACACGATGAAACAGTAATTCTTTTGTCCAAAGTGTTGAATGTTCTGGAACAGAACGTGGATGAGTACGTTCCTTTTCTTCTTTTGCGTGGCACATGGATGAATACGTTTCATTTCAACATATACCTACTCCAGTCTCTCATGAAAGGGAAAAATCCGACCATATATTAAATCGTGTCAGGTGTTCGGAGTCACCACAAACACCTCAAATTACCCAAGGGTTACAATTTATTCAGAAATATCACACGTTCGATCGACGTTTTTATCCAGTTCACTATGGTGAGTATTGTTCCTATGCATGACTGAAACTCATGCAGATCGGCTTCTGTGTTTACAAGGCGAAGAAGGTCACGGGTCGCCCATTCACATTTTGCAGTGGGCGAGCATTGTCAACCTGCGATCACAACGCAAACGCACTTGTGACATGAGCTACCGTGATATTGACTCACCCATTTTCGAATAAAACCAACAACTCTAAATTCTTCATTTTTCAAGTTGCAAATTCCGATTCCCTGACGTCTCAATTCTATCAGTTGCGGCACGTACCGGAATGGCTGCTCGCAGTTGGTTGAATTGCGCAGGTGAGAATGTCGCAAGCTGCGAACACAAACCCACCCACATTAGTAACATTAGTCATCACCCAAAGCGTGTCACGTGCAGGCGACTTTTCTCTACATATCAGCACTGCTAGCTAAGTTTCTACCGCCAAGTTGATTCGTCAGTAAATAAAAAGAAAAAAGAAACAGCCGCTCGAAAATTACAACCGTAGAACTTTTTACGCTTTAGATCATGTTCCTTGACTGTGTGCATTGGAGCCTGCGTTATGACTAGCTGTGTTGGAGGTTTGGGGAACACCTTCCCACACCTTAGCAACCAGATCAACCTGGGGGAGGGTGACAGATGGAACGCTCGGAGTCAAAATGGGACGACAAGAGGCTGGCTTACCTTTGCGATGACTGCCCAGTTAACGCCCTCTGTGCAGGGAGGGGTGGTGAGAGAGCCGTTGTAGCGGTAGTAGGCACCCTTGATTTCCTTGAAAGGCAGCTGAATTCTGATGGTTGTCCTGGTTGTCACTGGTTGAGTAACTGGTGGCAACTGGGGGAAGAACTGCACAGCAACCAACGTGGCATGAAGCCATGGGTAGGCAAAAGCAGGCACTCCCTGTTCTACCTATTGGTTGAGCACTGTACATACAGGGGATCCTTGACCCTCGAGTCCGTGGATGTTGTGTCTAGGTCATGGCGAAGGCCGTCAACGCATGCAAATGATGAGGGAGCTGGAACAGAGATTCGACATGGGGTGCGTGAGGTGGCGAGGTGGATTGAGTTCATTCCCTACCTGAGCCAGGAAGCTATTGGTGTCATCAGCCTCTTCCAAGGTGAAGCGCACAGCAATTACTGTCGTGCGTTGTGGAGTTACATTAATGGATGTGTGCACTAGGTGGAGCTCCATCTCTTGCCTGGAAGGAACAATTGAAAACCATTAGTAGCAGTGGATGCTCTTCTTTGTTCCCGTTCCCTTGCCTTTCCAAAACGAAGGTGATGAGGGTCAAGGTGTGCAATTGGTAGTGCGTACCTGATGCCAAAAACCGTGTGTTCGCTCGGAATGTGGAAGTGGAAGTGGCGGAGGAAGTAAGTGATGCCACCGACTGTGATTGTACCAGCATTTAACGGGGATACTATTTCCACCTGGACAGAAGCACACACAACCACAGGTTACTCATGCACGAAGAGATTTAACAGGTGGCTGCTGGGCTTA